GCCTGGAAGCTGCAGCTTGTGCAAAATGTGGAGTCTTGGCTGCTCACTGGGGCAAGATTTCCCTACCATGTTATGACACTACCGAAAAAGTTGCACAAGCTGACATTTAAGGTTCTGGTTCTGGTGCATAAAGCCCAATTCAGCTTGGGATCTGGATGCCTAAAAGATTGTATACATACAATTGATCACTGTGCTTTGCAGATGAGGTCCTCCTGCAGATACCATCTTATCAGGAGGTCTGTTCCACACAGTGTAGGAATCAGATCTTGAGTGTTGTGGCTCCTACCCCTTCATAAAGGGAAATCCTGTTGGTGAAAGGTGGGACTCTGCAGTGCCATCAGGTGTCAGTGTTATAACGCATACAGTCGTACCTTGCTTCTTGAACAGAATGTGTTCTGGGCGTCTCTTCAACTCCCAGAGCCATTCAAAAACCAAGGCGTGGCTTCTGATTGGCTGCAGGAGCAACCTGCACCCAATCGGAAGCTGTGCCAGATGTTCGGCTCCTGAAAACCATTCGAAAACCGGAACACTCACAAAGCATTTCAGATCCATGGTACAACTGTATAAAACACTTTATCTTTATGAATGTAGCTGAGTCCTTACGTGACTCTGAAGAATATTCATACAGCAAAATATCAGGACCAGTGGGGCTTTGCTTTAATAGCATCTCCTGCACTTAAATAAGGACAAGTACCAAAGTACCAATATTTCCTAGCACTTTTGGGGGTAAGAAATAACTTTTTAAAGGCAATAACATACACAGTAAAGGGAGACAAATGTCAAAAATAGATCTTCATAGTGTATATGAATTGGCTTTTTGAAGATGTATGTCATGTTAGAATCACTTTTCTGAAGGCATTCGTTTCAAAAAATAGTTTATAGCAAAGAAGGATTCATGAGGAATCTTTCCAAAAACTTACTTTCTGCAGGGAAGACTGACTATATTCTAGACAATTAGCACAAAAGAGCAATTAATGTTTTTTCAGTATATATGAGTAGGAGGGCACTATCTACTTAGTCAGGAAAGAAGGCTGTGTAATTATCTTAAGTTTAGGTAAGCAGAAGTCACGCTGTGCTGAACTGTCATGGCCTTCAATTCTTGGTGCAAAAGTTGCTGATTTGAGGTAGAATGGAGCTCCTGCCAAAAAAGTCACTCAACATAAAACAAAGCCTGTCCATGTGTTCCCATTAGTCTTCAATCTCCTTTCTGTAGCCTCTTCCTTCTGACCTCCTTCTTTTAGCAATCTTTGCTCTTTATGTGGGCAGGGAAGAAGATGGGAAAGGATCAGATAGCTGGCCAGGCCACGAGGCCACTCCTAGCCACACTGTGTTTGTATCTGATCTCGCTAGTTGCAGCATGGAGCAGACATGAGCCCCAGCTGTGTATAACTCACCCCAAAAATGTCTACCAAAAACTGGTTCTAGAGCTGAATGGTGATTCATAGATCTATGCTTGCAAAAACTGAGCAAGTAAATCAAAATAGTAAGGTAGATAACTAGCCATTTTGCTGACTGCTAGAGCTACGAATAAATCACCTATTTGTATCAACTATTGATTATATGAAATGAATGCATGTATAAGCTGTCTATATTAATGTTACACTGTTTATTCTCAAACTTGGGAATACATTGCAAGTAAGATGGAAGTAGAACAGAAATGTTCTAAAATGTCTAGGATCTTATTTGCTTAGGGAAAATAGTGCAGGAGAAAAACATCTGAGAGTTTGTGAAATACTTTAATTTCAAAATAAATAATTTGCTGTGGCATTTACAAATACTTAAAAAGCTTGAAGTATTTCAGAAAAGAAACTGTAGGATCATCATAACATTCACAACAAGTCTATCTATGAGCCTTTGAATATCATCCAGAAGTGAAAGCAACTTGTCTTTCTTCCTCGTCTTTGAAATAAATGAAAACAAAAGGATTATTAAAGGAAACAATAAGGATTTATTCATGGAAGACTATAACAAGATGTCAGTATTAGGCCCCTAAAACTGATTCTGAGCTATGCATTCTTGTGAAGTTCACTCATGCACTCATATGTTTTTCAAAGAATAAATCCATTGAGAACATTGCTAGCAAGCTATTAATAATGGATTTTTGTGTGTCAGAAATTAAAAATGCTTCTGTTGACTGCTGAACAAAATGTATGCTTTTGTATATATTTTTTAACAGAAAGATGGGATAGAAGTGCTAACAATAAATGTAAAAAGTAAATTTAAGGACTGTGCGCAGATTAAGGTTGCAACCCCATACACACTTAACTAGGATTGGATCCTGCTGAGCACTCTGGAATTAACTTCCAAATAAATATGTATAGAAAACCATTGTAAATTTACTGCACTTGGTATGCACTGAAATTAGTGGGACTTAAATCATGACTGACAGTGCAGTGCAATACTAGCCATGTATACTCAGTCCCAACCCAGTTTACCTAGATTACTCTGAATTCAATAGGACTTACTTTTGAGTAGGCATGGCTAGACTAGTTAAGATTGAAATGGGAACTAAGAGGAAGTAACTTAACCTGGAACCATCATGTTTTGATACTTATTTATTTAACAAAATTTATATACCACTTGATTGATTGATTGATTGATTGATTGATTGATTAAGAAAAACCTCTAAGTGGTTAATAACCTCTAAATGTTTTGACAGTGCAGTATATTTCAATGTTGGGCTTAACTCAAACAAGCTTCAGAGGAAAAATAGGTTCAGCTTGAAAATGGACTTTACTTTTGAGAAACCTTTCTAAAACAAAGGTTTACAAGGATGGTGCAGCTGAGTTTCTATGGGTGATATTCAACTAAGCTTTACTCAAAGTTGAACCATTAATACACAGCCTTCATTTACATTGCAGTCACTTATTGTTCCTTGTTTGCATGGGGTATGGAAGGGTGGATATATAGCGGTTTTTAAAATATCTAAATTTTAGTTGGTCTCTTGGAGTATTTTGAAGTATGTCAAGGTAAACAGAATAATAAAGGAATAGCAAGAGAAGGAAAATCTAACTTATTCTAAATACACTAATCAGGAATAAAAACCTATTAGTTGGACTGAAAAGGTATTTAATTATTTGAAAGTGAGAATTATAAAATACTTGATAAAATATGCCAAAGGATAAATACTAGTAGACAGAAGACTTTAGGACATGAAAGGTTTAAAAAAACAACAAGAAAAACTGTCAGGCAAACATCAAGAGCAACTTGACAACAGAAAGCTGAAGAATGAAATGATACTTTGCAAAGATTTAGAATGACATTGAACTGGACACTTAAAAAGCAGAATGCATTTTTCATTTCTCCATCATTGACATGATTTGGTTGAATTCCAAGACAGTGAACACCTTGCTGTACAATTTTGTCTAGTGTCAAACTTTGCAGTACAGTATTGTCTACTGGGACAGATGACTGAGATGGGATAAAAAAGAAAGATAGTCACTGTGTATAGCTAGTGGCATAACAGAAAGGAAGCATTTGAAAAAGCTGCCAGAAGTAGATCAAACTACAGAAGGAAAAAGAAAAGAAAAAACTGTTTCAGTAAGCCATATAGCACTGCATCATAGTGAGGTTTCCCTTTAGAAAAAGAATAATGAAAAAGCTCCATCTGTCAAATGTTATGTTAGTCATGGCCCTTTCCTTGTAATTTAAATTAAAAGGGATCCCTTCTAACATTAATGCCATTTACGTACATGTCTCAGGTGAAAGGGTGATTGTTTATTTAAAATATTTATATCCCATCTTTCCTCCAAAAAGTTCAAGGTGCCTGCAAGATAAAATGATACATTAATACTAAAACTGCAGCAGGAAATAACAGACTACATAAGGAATGAAGATTATTAAAAAAATCAGACAGGTGAAATCAGTTCCATAAAATAGTGATGCCTAAAGCTTCCTAAAAAGGAAGGGGTTTTTTTCTTAACCAATTTACAATCAACCAATAGAGAAAAAGCAAGACAGGCTGCCCTTGGGAGAGAATTCTGAGACGTGCTACTTGTGGTTTTTTTAAAATTCTGTTTTGTTAAAATGCCTACTAATTATTTCAGCTTGGAGAGCTCAGTTGGTTAGAGCATGGCACTGTGCTGATGAGCTTATAAAGAGAACATCCCCCCCCCTTTTTAAACTCATATGAAACATGCCTGCTACAGACCAATCCATCCCTACTCAGCAGTTTATTCCAGTGAGTTTAATGGGGCTTACTCCTAAGCAATTGGCAATTCTGATAATTACGTTATATAAGATCCCTGTGTTTTTTGTCTTTACAGTAGCATCCCAAGCCCTAACATGAACTGTTTTTGCAGCTCTTTACTAGCCAGTTTTGGGTCTGAATTTTTAGAGCAATATCAGTGGTTTGTGGACCTGGGTATTCCACAAACAGGGCCAGCTCTCCAAAAGGCTCTAGATTGCTCATGCCTTAAGTAGATGTCCCTCAGTAGTAATGAATTTCTGCTCTTTCCTGACATTAACTATGAAGAATATGTTCTTTTCCTAACACTGACAAGTAACCAATTTAAATCAAATTAACATAAAACGAAGTTATTTTTAATAAGACGGAATCCATGCATTTCAAAACAACAACACCCCCCAAGCGGTTTTTTATTAAGAGAATGGTTCAGGAAAGCTGTGTAAAGAGTCTTCTGTGGTCCCATTAACCTCTCCCAATTTTTCCAAGGTCAGCTGCTGGTGTGGAATAGTTTCTTTTAAATGATTTGCTATTTCTTGTTTGCATTTTGACTAAATTCTGTGACATTGGTTTACTGAAACCTTCATGGGTGACTGCCTATATTACTATTTATTTTACTACATTTATGATATGACCTGTATTTTATTTTGCAATAATCTCCCCGTTTCCTTCATTGCTGTTTTGCTGAACTATTCCCATTACTACTCCAAAGAAGAAACTAATCTACAGGGTGTATACAGCTTCCCAGGGAGCCTTCAGACTTTGATTTTATTGCTTAGAGTAGAGGCAATCTACACTGTGTATTTTTATTTTTCAGGAAATTGAAGCAGCCGTGATAGCTAAACAGCCGGATGTGGAAGGGATTTTGTCTAAAGGGCGTCATTTATACAAAGAAAAACCAGCCACTCAACCCGTAACGGTAATGAAGCAACCTTCGTAATATCTATTACTGCGTAATGGGTTATGCCTCCCCTGTTGTACAATTGTCCTTGATGCAATGTATTTGAAACTTGGAGTCTTTCTAAGGTACCAGAGAAATACATGTTATGCTTTCAGCTAGCTAAAGCTTTTTAGACTTCGTTTTTATTGCTTATTCTTATATCCCACCCTCCATCACTTTCATGATCCCAGAGCAGATTTTTAAAAGTAAAATATAAAAACCCCAATAATTCAATAAAGTTTCCAGCTCAGCTCATAATGGATCAGTCCCCATTGTGAGAATAAAAATAAATAATTGCTGTTGGAAGATAGCCAACAACAGCACCAATCAAATCTCAGGAGGGAGCGAGTTGCATAGCTAGGGAGCCACTGCCGAAAAGGCTGTATCCCAAGTCACAACACAGTGTGCCTCACTTATGGGCTACATCATGAGAAGGGCCTAACTGCGTATCTTAATCCATGGGCAGGTTGGCGTAGGGTCTCAAGTCACCCAGGGCCTTATACATTAAAGTCAACACCTTGAATTGGGAATGATAACATGTTGGCAGCTGATGCAAAGCCTCTCTAAATCTTATTCAATTTTCAGTTTCTTCCACCTGATCAATAAAGTAGTCCCATTCAAAACGCAAACTACAATTCTGCCAGGGAATACCAGTTCTTTTTTTCTGGGGGGGGGGGCGCAGGGGTACACATACCCCTAAACATTTTGTGAATCTAAGTTTGGCCTCATTGAGGGGCAGTATTTCAATATGAGTAGGAAAATGAGAGCATCCCTAAACATTTTTTTAGAAAAAAAGCACTGGGGAAAACTTTGCCCATCATGTGTGAATAGTGTGTGAGGTGGGTAGGAGAGAGAGGGAGGAGGCTGGGCCACCTTCTATGCCATCTTCCTTTCTTTATTTGCCATTCATGGACTGCCTTGTGCCAGGTCCTTTCCACTTCTTCCATCAAACTGAGTAGCACGGGTCCCCTTCTGCTCAAAGTAGCTCTGGGTATGTTTGAGGATCTAGTGTTTGATGAGTCATTATATATATATATTTTTATTTTTTTGTTAAATAGATTGATAGACTGTGATAAGAAGTTTGCCCTTGCTTATACAGTGTATCATACTATGAGTCTATTTTTTCTTCATGTTTGCTTTTTTAATTTTAAAATGTGAGCTGTTTAATTTTTAAAATATTATTTACTTCCTATAGATACAATACAATGGATTGAATCGAGACATGCTCAACTTTGTTTGCATAGGAAAAAAAGCTTCAGGGAAGCAATATTTATCAATCTTCCTTCCCTGGGCACCCGCCCGTATCTCCCCAAAAGCTGCTCTGGAAGATTGGAAGACCTCTAGAACAGTTTGGAGAGTGCTGCTGGTGGCCGCAGGGGCGTTGGTGAAAACTACCCTGTTCCTCCATCAGAAATAATAATAATAATAAAAATAAATTTTATTTATATCCCGCCCTCCCCAGCCGAAGCCGGGCTCAGGGCGGCTAACAACACTAAAACAGTACAACATTATAAATACATTCTAAAAATTAATTAAAATACAAATTGATGGCAACCATAGACTAAAGCTTTGTAGAGATTGCCAAAGGAGGGAGTCAGGCTGCGCCCTGACCAAAGGCCTGGTGGAACAGCTCTGTCTTACAGGCCCTGCGAAAAGATGTCAAGTCCTGCAGGGCCCTTTTCTCTTGCGACAGGGCGTTCCACCAGGTTGGAGCCGCAGCCGAAAAAGCTCTGGCTCTAGTTGAGGCCAGCCTAACCTCTCTGTGGCCTGGGACCTTCAAGATGTTTTTATTTGAGGACCGTAAGTTCCTCTGTGGGGCATACCAGAAAGCCTCCAAAGCCTCCATTGTATCCCAGTTCCTTTTGTGAATGGAAGGAGCAAGTCTGGAATCCAATCCATTAATTCAAACCCTCACATCCATATCTTTTGCCCAAATTAAAATATAGTCCTCCCAAGACTATATCACTTCATAGTGAAGTTGAGATGCCATGAAGAGTTGGGCTTAGCTGCCCCCCTATTTTATTCAAGTTGGCACCCCAGTAGTAGCAGTATGGGAAGATGGGAATGTTTAACTCTGTCCCATTTCACTGGTGACTCCCCATCTCAGCTGCTAGTAGTACCATGTTTGAAATCCTACAGGTATTTGTACTTTTCTTCTTGGAGGTATAGCATCAGCTTTCAGTGGTGAGCCATACAGCTCATAGCTATCTATGGTAATTTCACGTACAGTTCGGCTCTTTACCATGTGCAATTACACAAGAATACTGTCACTGCTTTCAAATATATAATGGAAATGTTTTTTAAAATAAATAAAGTTAGCAGTTTCCTGTGGTGGGGGAACATATCCCTCATCTGTGTATTTATTACAAGGATGACTAATAGTCCTTTCTACACAAAACATGAGCAGATTTAATTTGCTACATAGATGAAAAGAAACATTTAGACTAAAGAGTACAGTATGCTCAAAAGCCATGTTTCTTATATATGTTGAAGCTTATTTCAATAAATACAGATAATATTAAATAATTCTACTGGTAGACTATTGCCAGTAACATGGTATTTTCCTTGGAATAAATTTGGCATACTTATTAGGCAGTGTTGCACAGTTTGACCCTGAAAAATGAAAAAGATGGAACACTTCTTGCAGCACTTGTTTCAAGGCCTAGCATCTGTAATTAGCAGGGTCGGGTACCTGTTGAGTCAAGAAGGCAGGTTATCATTTCAAAGATCAGAAGCAACTACCGCTGCTCCCTATCCCACCTTATCTTGCACAGAAGCCTACCGGAATGCTTATGGCAATGGGCAAATGGACACATTGGGGAAAGGAGTAAGCACATCATCCTAGTCTGCATCTCACATTTTGCTACTTATTAGCACTAGTTTTGTTCCATCACTTCTCACAGAAGCCTGGTTAGATGATCTTAGCCCATGCATCTCAAATGTGCACATCAGAGCTAAGGGCTTAGGCAATGCCTGGATTGAGTGACTGGTATTCAGTGGCCATTGATTGGGGTCCCTGTGTATGAGTGTGGGGCATGCAAGTCACTGCTTCATCTCTCCCTACTAGGTCCTATGGCTCCAGATGTGCTAGGTACAGATTGCTAGATGTAAATGAAGGCACCAGGCCACACACAGCAGTGGATGGGAGCTCCAAGACAGTATTTCAATGGATACCAGAACAAGCATACTCATTCACATGCATATCCTAATTCTCTCTTCTCACAATTAAAATGTGCTTGAGGGTGTAGAAGATTCAATGTTATCAATAGCTGATGAATTTTGTGTCTCATCATACTATTAATCTGTACTCTCCCTAGAGACCTAGAGACGTAACGTTAGACTGTTTTGCCTCTTTTCATTTGACAAACGTTCTGTGACATTGGGGAGGTGGTAATTCTGTATTGATTTACTATGGATGTTTGTATGTGATGCCAATAAAAGGTTTGATAATGATGATTAATCTGTACCATAAGAATGCAGTACCTGAACACTATAATCCAAATGGCATATTTAGTGCTACTGTTTTGTCAGATGACAAAATAGTAGCCTAGATTTCTTCACTGTTCTTCCTTCATATGTTTGAAAATTCTTTGTTCCTCAATAAATAAGTTAAACTGTAATAAAATGAGGAAAAATGGGTCCCACAATACTTAGCACAGGAGGTAAGATATTTAGATCTTGTTGACAAAAAGTAATTGATAAGAGCAAACAGAAAAGAGGGCAGTCAAATCTGCCCGTTCCCATTTCCTCAAATAAGTACTGTAAATTGACAACATTATGAGAAGTTTTCAGCTACACATACATTCAGTCATCCTCAATGTCTTAGCTACTTAAAAAAATATTTTTAGTTGGGGAACAACACTGTTTTCAGAATTTAGACTATCTGTTTTCACCAAATGTCAAATTGTGTTTAAAATACCGTATATTACATATGAACGTTGGCTACTGCCACTCTGGGGATATAATAATATGTTTGATAGAAGAGTCTGTGGGGATATTATCTTCTCTTTCTTGTTTACTTACAAAAGGCACTGAATTTCAAAGATATACAGGATCCCTGTTTTGCAGTCCTTTTGAAGCTACATTTGTCTCCAGTGGGGACTGGATGGTTAGCTTAGTAATCTATCTATATCTATCTATCTATCTATCTATCTATCATCTATCTGTCTGTCTGTCTGTCTGTCTGTCTGTCTGTCTGTCTGTCTAATCTATCAATATCCCTGGATTTTGTTTTGGTTTTTTAATAAAATTATTACTAGGGGTAGAGTGATCAATTTTATTTGGGGCTACAACATTTATATGGGACGCGGGTGGCACTGTGAGTTAAACCACAGAGCCTAGGACTTGCCGATCAGAAGGTCGTTGGTTCAAATCCCCATGACGGGGTGAGCTCCCATTGCTCAGTCCCTGATCCTCCTTAGCAGTTTGAAAGCATGTCAAAGTGCAAGTAGATAAATAGGTACCGTTCCGGCAGGAAGGTAAACAGTGTTTCCATGCACTGCTCTTGTTCGCCAGAAGTGGCTTAGTAATGCTGGCCACATGACCCAGAAGCTGTACGCCGGCTCCCTCGGCCAATAAAGTGAGTTAAGCGCCACAACCCCAGAGTCGGCCATGACTGGACTTAATGGTCAGGGGTCCCTTTACCTTTACAACATTTATACCCTCCTCAGTCATGATCAAGATGGAAATCTCCTTTCCTGTGCTACAATTAGTTTTTGAGGGGAAACTTCCATTGACATCAATTGAAGTATCGCCAATTTATTATTTTTTAAACCAGAAGTGGTTCCTAACCACACAATTGGAGTAATGTCTGGCAAGGGAACTACATGTTATGTTATTGGAACTTCCTCTACCTGCTTTAATAATGCCCAGGATTCTTCTCCCATTTCCCAACACAGAGCAGTTCAGATTACTCCCAAGTCAAGATATGCTTTAAATTTAAATTTAAATTTTCCAATTTTCTGCTTCATTATCATATGTGCTGTTTTAACAGAATGGCATATAATATAAAAAGCTGTGCTGTACACAAGATACTCTTTCATCCCAGGTCTTTATTAAATGTTTAATATATCTGTCTTCCCATTTCAGAGAAAATTAGAAGATTTAAATACTGACTGGAAAGCAGTAAACCATTTAATACAAGTGTTGAAAGGAAAGCCAGTGTCTGGGCCCTCAGGAATTGTATCATCTGCTGTTGGTAAGTACTTTGATGTTTCAGTAATCTTCAAAGTTTATATGTAAATGTTAAAATGAAGGTATATTTCTAACGCTGGTGAGAAAGCTGATGCTGAAAGCCATACAAAGAACATTGATATTTATTATTTTCTATGGCTGCTCTATTGGCCTATTGAAGGAATATTCACACTACAAGCATAGTGATTTGAAACTAGTTCAGTTGTCATGGCTTTCCTCCAAGAATGTTTAGTATCATACTTTGAGGAGGGTGTTGAAAATACTTGACATTTGTTTCCTAGGAAGGAAGAATAGCTATTGAATTAGTATTACTTCATCTGTGGTGCAGATATAGCCTAAGACAAAGTACAGTGGTACCTCTGGTTACGAACTTAATTTGTTCCAGAGGTCCGTTCTTAACCTGAGGTACCACTTTACCTAATGGGGCCTCCCGCTGCCGCTGCGCCATCAACACGCAATTTCTGTTCTCATCCTGGGGCAAAGTTCTTAACCCGAGGTACTACTTCCGGGTTAGCGGAGTCTGTAACCCAAAGTGTTTGTAACCCGAGGTACCACTGTAATGGAATTATTAAATTCAGTTCATAAATTGATTTATAGGTTGTGCTGGGTAAGAGCTTTTTTAAAAGAAGGCTACTTCCTGTTATATGTGCTAGATGAAAGTTGAAAGATAAGTTGGGAATTAAATTTTCATTTAATTTGATGTTGCAGTTCAGTAATGGCTTGATTGCTTTTACCTCCATTCTGTTTTTTTGCATCTGGGCTCATCCACATGTCTGCTTGTCCCATGCTTTCTAACCACAGGTCTGAGAGGTTTTTCTCTTGCTGCATTCCCAGGAAAACCCTGCTGTTTACTTCTGAATCATAGCAAATGTCAATAGGGTTTTCTGTGGATTGATGTTCTGATTCAGGCATTGTGTCTCTTGGAATAATAATGGGTTAATATATTTCTTAAGACACTACTTTTGTAATCTAAACCATGTTTATTTCTTAGTATGCATCTTTTATTTTAGTGAGATTTGATAACTGTTCCTAGGTCTGAGGCTTATAATTGAAAGGCAATTTGATGGTATTAAGCTTAATATTGTCCTTGCTCACACATTTGTTTAAGGATTTCTGGTATGTGGAAAGAGCAGCATAACCATTCCTAATGTCCCATAGCAGTAGCATGCCCTCCAGCATAATAAACAGAAACCATTTTTCTCACTAGGACAATCTTATCTGGCTGAATCCTATTTCAAAAGTCTCAGCACATGCACAAGGTTCCCATTTCAGTCACCAGTACTTTGAATTAAAGTATTTTAGGAAGACCTCCATCTGAGATTTTGGAGAATCATTGTCCAGTGGAAATTGTACCACCAACAGTTTGACATTTAAAATACGAATTTCTGTAAACTTCACTAACCAAAGATTCCACTTGAATATCAGTAATAGAAATCACACTGTAATTATGAAGGAAGGGCAGGCTTTCATTTTATTTTTGGGAAAACTAATGTGTCAACTTAAGAATAGATTTTACATTACACTAATGATCTTCTTGACACTGAGAATACAACCTGCTTAGAAAACTGATTATGAGAAGTGGCTCCCTATGTGGTTCATGTAATTTTAATTGTGCAAGCAGAACAGGAAAATATTTTTCCTGCTATGTTTAAAAGTTATTGAACCACATAGGAAACTGTATCACAGAAAACAATTTTCCAGGTGGTTACAAGTCCAAACTGGCTATATTTTTGATGGCAACCATGAACAGTCCCTCTTCTTCATACATACAATCACTCAGGTGAGCACCCATATGTAACAGAATCATATGGGTGGAACTTCATTCCACCATTGCTTTATTGGAGTAACTCTCCACCTAGTCTATATATGTAGTCTGTAAACATATATCTGGGATTAAGCTGCATTAAATAGTAGAACGTATTTTTGAGTAAACATATATAGGATTGCATTCTGAGGAACTTTCCAATTACATTTCTGGAAGTGTTTTCGGTAATTAACAATATTTATGGCAGATGTTCCTCTTGATGCATTCAAGAAGTAGATTAGGACATAAGGAGCAGGTTTTGTCAAGGAATACTTGGAAGTTTATGTTCACCTGCTGGAAGCATTGAAATTTCAACAATTTGGATAGAAAACCTAAGGACCTGGCCTAAAAGAGGGAGTCTACAGCTGAGGAAGGGGTCTACAGTCATCTGGCAAGAATCGTTGTCCTTTCTAGTTCTCAGGAAACAGATGCAGCTGGATAGTATTTTCAATTGAACAAGAATCAAGACCAGACTGAACCTTCTTTTCTGCCTGACTGCCAGAGAGGCCTATTTAGGTTTGGTCTGTTAACTGATTTTGTATCATGTTCCACATGCCCATGTGTTATCATCCAAGGACAGACTTAAGTCAGAATCTTGCAGTAAGACTTCATAACAACCTTCTCTTTTCAGATGTCTTCAAATCTTACAAAACTGAATGAATGACCTCATGTTTACATTAGCCATTCAGTGAAACACTGGCCATTAGGCACTCATAAAGTACCATAACTATGGAGTATCATATATATGGCAAAAAGGAAAAAAATCGCTGAGCATTGCACAGCAGTGCTATTGGAATTTATCACTTTCTGGAATTTCAAACTATATAGCCTATAGTTCAAATCAAATGGATCTGGGAAGTCACCCTTAGTAATATTTGTGTAGGAAATTCATGCTATGTGTAGCAGTCCTGACAATGTTTTAGATCGTCTAAGGAAATTAAGATCCCAGGGGAGAGATTTTCAGATAATTCATTGGGGAGGCAAGTTTCATGACACACATGCTTAACAAATACATTATAGTACAAAACTGAATTTAGTGGTTTGATTTGAAGAATTTTCAAGGTCAAGACCCTGTTTCAAGAGAAGTTTTATTTTCAAGACAGTTGACATCGGACACAAAATGAAAGACAAACTCACCTAATAAAAAGACAAAGAGTTCAGACTAACACAGCTACTCTTTTGGAATCCATCTAATAAAGCTTTCAGATTCAATTTACTCTCTGCATATAGCTTGAGGAATCTCTGGAGGTCATTCACAGCGTGTGCTTCAACACCAACAGGGAGAAATAATGAAAAGGACTTGGATAAAAAGCTGACACTATGCCTTCAAAATTGCATGAATAAAAGCATAATACGCTAGTTAATGGTTGAAATTCTCTGTGTTTTATAAGATTTTCTCTCTCAGTCTCTGTCTTAATGCATGGATTTGTTACAGTACCAGCTTAGTGAATAAACACGAAAATAAAACGTGTAAGCCAGAAGTCTGATTTAAACCAATAGAAAGTATGTTGGTACTTCATATTTAACTTATCCTATTCCACTCCAAACACTTGGGATTAATTTCTGCAATACAGATACACAACTATACTTTATATGAGGAATATTTGTGACCTTTTGCTAGTATTAAGAGCATTCTTCAGTGTGTAGATCTGAACATATTTTGCCCCAATCTAGAAATAACCTCACACAATGAAATCTAGTTAGCCTCCTTGGAAAGCAGATAAACATTTGCACCTGTATGACGTTGTTAGACCGGCAGGAAGGTTCACTCCTAATGACAGACAGCCGCATTAATGTCTGTATGAAAGAGAAAGACTGTGGGGTATCACTAGCCGCTTTTGCACTGACTCTGCCTACCACCGGCATGCAGCCCCCAAAAGTTTAGCTGCAAGGAATTGTGTGGTTCTCTGGATGACTCCAATTTCTCTATCATAGCATATGCAAAATAATAGACTAAAAAAAAAAGTCTATAATTTAAAAATATAGTTCCCCAATATTTTATTTTATACATAGGAGGTTTGCTTGTATTGAATATTTTCTACCATTATTATTGTTGTTGTTGTTGTTATAATATTTATATTTATAGAATTCATGTACCACCCTATACTATACCCAGAGGTCTCAGGGCGATTCACAGAACAAAATAAAAATATAAAACCACAAAATACATAATCAAAATAAAAACAACAACCCAGTCTTTATTTAGATGCTAACAAGTAACTTGTGCAAGCAAAATCAATGGTCCAGATCTGATAAAGCTAGAAAATCGGAAAGACACGACATTGTTTTAGAGACTATTTTGTAATGATATCAAAATGAATTTTTGCACTGAGCTATGACACAAGGTTCTCAAGCAGCAGTCACTTTTGGAGGAGAGATCAGGGTGAGCTGATCAATCATCTTTAGAATGGCCTCAGGAAAGTTTCCCAGGGGCTGCCACAATAACAGTAACTTACAGGAGACTGGAATTTGAGATAGTTTATCTTTCAGGAAGATTTTGAATGGAGTAATACGTCCTGGCTGTGTGAACTTTATTAATGGGACTCCAGATTAGAAAGATAAAGTATAATCTTTAATCAGTGTCAAGGCTACTACTTAATCAGTGTCAGTGCCTGCTAAAGCCACAGCTGTAAATGGGTACAGATACGAAATTTTTGGGCATCAGAGATGAAGCAGCCAACTGACTGCTTTTAAAGCCACTTCTTCTGCAATTTTTATCTCTAAACATTTGTCTCTAAATGCCTTTATCTCTAAAACTTCTCTCATCAGCATTTTAATCATGAATATGTATTGCATTTTCAAGATAATTCAGCTATTATTGCTTTTGCAAAGCTTTCAGCTATTGAAATTGAGATTATGGCTTTTAAAGTTCACACCCATTTTATGTATTCGGAAACATACTTTTAAGATGCAGTGCAAAAGACTGGAAACAAGAATGGTTTCAGTGTGGAAAATTATTTCATTCTTCTCTGTGAAAAGCAGACCCAGAGTTTTGGATGTAGGTATTCTTTCCTTCCCAGCACCCTTGATGCACGCAGGACCACAACCAGCAGCGACTTGTTTATGGACACTGGTTTTATGCAAGGATGGTTTGCATGCGAGAGTGTTTAAGCCAGTTTATCTGTTCTCATAACAGCTAAACTGAAATAGGTATGAGAACAAGGAAGAGAAAAAATGTGCTTATCTTTTTAAAACCCATC